TCCTTACATGTTTCGGAGCATTTTTGACATCCAGTGGAGCTTCCATAAAAACGTTGTCTATCTGCATACTATTGAGAAAAGCAGTATCGACATTGAGTTGTTCTATTTGGCAGTCTTATTTGGTACACATGACAAGGATCATCTAATTTGGATACATTTTGGCGACCGAATATTATTTGTCGAGGAAATCGATGTCATACTTCTGCTTGAAACTCTTCACGAAATGCTGAGCCTTGTACCGCGCAACAGTGTCATTTTGATCAGGTTTCTTGGCAAAGGCCCATCGTGATCCAATTGTGCGATTGCGCGTCTGTGTTGGCTTCCAGGAAGCGAAGCTCAGCTTTAATAGATTCACGCCACTTTGCTACATCATCGCTTGTCTTTGCTTGAGCATATGCGATCAGCCAGTCTGTGTCATCATCACTTCCCACCTTGTACGCTAACACAGAATAGGTAATGCGTTCATTCTTGTTAATCTTCGCAAGTTTCGGTATCGATGGGCCATTACTTCCTTCTGGCATATCTTCATCATTTAGGCTGGTCTGTAGCATAAGTATCGGCTCAAGTCTTTATTTTGTTAGCTCCACTTCAGGCTAAAACACCCAACAACTTTCATGACGAGAATGATGAGATAATTGATAGTCTGCTAGACTCGACTCGTTTTCATTCGAGCGTATGGACGGCATAAGCTTCTGTATGCTGACTTGGCGTACACTTAACATCGTTCATTTCGATTTTCTGTAACTGTTTATCCGACAATTTCTTCGAGTTCATGCCGAAGTTAATGTCGATCTTCTTGGTTTTAAACATAACCATCATCGCAATCCTTTATAAGGTTGATAGTCACTTCTGACTGTAGCGCATGCGTGTCGTAAATACCGCCCAATTCACGCTCATCTAACCTCACACAGCGGGTCTTTACAACTTTGCATTCTCTAAGTCAAACACACTGTAACCATTGATATTCTCCTCATTACCAAGAAGCATGCATTTAAAACTTTTGGCTTAAAGCTTTGTCCTCTTTGAATCGTCAACACGAGCGAAATCGTATTCGTACGTCATCCATCTGAGTTTTTATCTTGAAATCAAGCTGTATGACGTGATGTCGAGATTTGTTGAGCGATTAAAAAAATAACCTGCTGTGTTCATTGCTTCCGCACACCATTCAGTTGTTGTTATACAGCATACTGCAAGATTCTTCATGATACTCTTTTTCATATGCTCCGGCAATCCATTTTGCTATGAGCTATATAAAACAGTACGTTGGTGGACGATGCCGCTTCAACGGCATACGTCTACCATCAGCTTTTTACAGTTTCGGCCCCGTTGTCCGGTCTTAGTGTTTTGAGACAAACATTACTAAACAGTCTCAAATACGTTGAACCTGCCAGTTACATCGTCCTTGCTCTTGTAAGATATTGAAATTACTTAAAAAATCATCCACAAAAGTCAGAATATATATTGCACCTTCCTCCAACGGCGTCTGCATTCCAATAACTATATCTGTGTGCGCGCACTCTAGAACACGTGTCGTCTATGTATTCAAAGGTGAAGAAAATGCCTTGACTATCTGCTATCCATTTAAACATTCGGTACACTGCTTCTTGCTTAATCATCAAGATGCCATTGGTAGAGCGTGTGTATCGGATGAAGAATCCTTATTTGGGTGTCATGCCAACGCTCATAAGATCTGGATTACTACGCTTTACCACTTCTTGAACTCGTTGCAATCGCCGTTGATCCGTTCCAAATGACGCACAAACAACATTTGACACTCATACCGCGTTTTGCAAGGACAACAATCTCCTGTTAGGTTCCAGGATATATAAAAGATCAATTACGCGAAAACCTTTTTCATCCAGACTAGTCAATCTCGCTGTGCCAAACAAATTTGACGAGTAATTTTTGCCGAATGCAAACTTTACTGCTATGCTTGTCTAAAACTTATCGTATTCGAACAAGTCCTTCCTGGGCTGGGTCATGTGGTATGTGAAGCAAAATCAAAGTGCACGATTTCAACCTATCAGGAATTCTTATGGCCTCATATAGCCCATAAAGTTGGTATCAACAATCGACAAACCCGGTCGGATAGCTTAACCTATCCAAGTTTTAATCACTTCTTTATGGGCAGGGTTGCAAACACCAGGACCACACAAGGAACATTTTAGCGTAGTTTCTTTTGAATAGACTGCCCTGTGCCATTTGGAATTCGTCTGTTTACCGAAACGAATTTGACGGAGGACCTTCAGTGCAGGGTTGGCCCTTTGCACCCCTCAGCCGTGAGAGAGTAAGGCACAAAATGTTCTGTACTGCATATGATCGAACATGTATGGCTGAGATTTACCACCCCTGGCGAATTCAGAAAATTTTCAAATTCGATACCCATTCTACCCTCATCGCTGAGAAGTTATACTTTACGTCTAGACATCCACCCATCGCTTCATCCGAAGCGGTAGAGAAGATGCGGAAGGCCTCGGTGCTAATCGCACTTGTTTGAAGGCCGTCCAGGAGGACGAGAGCTCTCGTCGCCTTCGGGGATGTGTCTGACACCATTGCTGCAATAAGTGTTTTTGTTTACCTCTGGACTTAGGTTGATCTCAGCTTTTTTCCAAAGTGGGTGTCCGGAGCGTCTGCAACTTATGCCGCTTCTATTCTCTCATGTAAAAAGCCTTATCAAAAGATGCAGCACGTTGGTCTCCATTCTTGTGCGCGGTCTAATAGCGTGTATAACGCAAGCACGACGTGCAGTTGCTCCGTTTGGAGCACGGCCAAATTTGTGCTCGGCATCCATCATCCAGATTAAGACTTTATCTCCGTCCCTGTTCGCAAAGGCTGAACGCTCACCATCTGCGACCTCAAGGACGGTACATTTTTGCTCCTTTCGACGCCTGGTTGGGGTGCTTCGAAGGTAGTCCACAAGCACATTTGCATTGCCGACGTACACGTCCAGGCAAGCATTTTTCTGCATGTGGCCCTCGGACTGCCCGCTCACTCATCCTTGAAAATAAAAATAGACATGAGGTCTTCAAGCGTGAAGAATTGTCCCGGTGACAAATCATGAACTTCCCTTATTCCATTCTCACAAATATTTTTGTTCTACTTTTACTAAACGCAACGGGGTTACCGAGTACCATGCCCAGGAGAGGCTTCGACTCAAAAGACCGCGGTAACAAACGCACAGAAGTTTGATTCGTACACTCAACCCAGCAGCAAAATCGTAACACTCGTTATGCAACGGAGTGACACGTACCCTGGTAACAGGGGTGTGTGTCACGCGAGATGAGCATGGTGTGACTGCACCCAAACAAGAATACGGTATGTGGCTAGGTAGCCAGTAGTTA